TTTTAATTTTTTATTGTAAACCACAGAAACAACCCTTAGATAACTTAAAAAAATAATCATAAAGAGTACACTATGGAGCCAGGTATAGTGGCACAACCTATAATCTCAGTGGTTTGGGAGGCTGATTCAGGAGCACCACAATTTCAAGGACAGCCTCAGAAACTTAGTGAAGCCCTAAGCAACTTAGTAAGAGCCTGTCTCAGAATTAAAGAATTAAAAAATGGCTAGGGATGTGGCTCAGTATTTAAGTGCCTGGGTTCAATCCCTAGTACCCCTCCCCCCCCCAACAAAAGGATCCACCAAAAAAAAAAAAAAAGAAAAGAAAAAGAAAAAAAAATTATGGAAAAAACATTATGGAAAAATTATTGAAAAATCTCTCCAAGGAAATTGGGGCTCTAGTAAAAAGGGAAATCAATCCTACATTACTAACAATGTCAAATATGCACTATATATATTTCATAAAATGAAAATTTGATGTTATTTGTATGCTTAAAGACTCTGTATCTTCACTGTTCATGGGATCAAATACTATTTTTTTGGTACCAGAGATAAAACCCAGGGGTACTTAACTACTGTGCCACATTCCCAGCCCTTTAAAAAATATTTTATTTAGAGACAGGGTCTCACTAAGTTTCTTAGGTCCTCACTAAATTGCTGAGGCTAGCTTTGAACTGTGATCCTTCTTCTTTTTCTTTTTTACTATTTAAGTTCTTGATTTAATTGAAGAGGGGGGGGAAGCATACAAATACAGTACAACCTTCTAAATGGAACAAATAGTTAAAAAAAAAAAAAATGGTACATCTCTGGATCTGAGAGCCAGAGACAATAGTCACTTAAGAAGAATCGGTGCCATTCATTTTGGACCCATGTCTCATTCATTCAAATTAAAAATCAGAAATTTCTCTAAAGGAAACTCAAAATGATGTTGCAGGAGCTGGAGGAAAGAATACCAGGCACGAGAGATGGAAGGTGATTGTTCTGGTAATGGTAACAGCTAACCTTCTGAACTTTGATCCTTCTGCCTTAGCCTCCCAAGCCACTGGATTATAGGCGTGGGCCACCATGACAAACACAAGTACAAAAATCCTTATCATGGCAATAAAGGTTGTCCATAGCCTTAGTTCCCAGTCATCTCCATTCAAATGTAACTCAACCTTTATTGAATATGTGACTATTTGTTGAATGTTCAACATGTACTGAATATTGGCCATGTGCTAGAAGTCAAAAGACAAATTAGCACTCTTGCCTTGAGAAATTCTACCACATGTCAAAAGCAGGGGTGACCATGAGGCCTGTTTTTGTCTACTGTCCTAGTGTAGTTACTAATAACACCAAATCCCATTTTCAATCTCAAAAGTTTTTAAGTTTGGACAATAAGTTATACATCATTTTAATAATACCATCACCATGTTTTCTCAGCAAACTCTGTGAAGTTAATGAAGGACTATATCTGGTAAGGTCCCTGGAGAAATGGGATGGCACATTCCTACTGGAAAATTTGGGCAGAGTTCAACAAATAAACTATTTGCAAAGGTGGTAAAATGTAATGAAACCAGAGAGGGGCTACTCTAGGTCATTATGGGGAAGTAAGTGACCTTTAGTTAACAAGTGGAGCCAGCCTGCAGAGGTGCCATGGTAAGAGAGCCTGCAGGAAAAAATACTCAAACCCTCCTCTCTTGTTCTGCTGTTGCTCCACATTGCCTGAACTCAACTGGAAGGTAAAAGGAATGAAAGCCCTTTGAGTTCAGGCTCCTAGAGGCAGAGGGCAGGACAGAGAATGGTGACATCCTCCATCAGAACTCACTACCCTAATTTACAATGGAAAAAACGGGGGTGGGGGATGAAGCAAGGCCAACTAGACTGATGTTACAAAGCTAAGAGTTACTAATGTATTTGAAGTGCCATGTTCATGCTATTACTCTTGTTCCTCTAAGGTTCCTAAACTCTAGCAATGCCAGAAGTTTTACCCTTCCTATAGAGTCCTCACCCAGAATCTTTGCTCATTCTATTCCCATGCCTGGAATTTCCTCTTTGCTTTCTCTCCTGGTTAAATCTTTTCTATTCTGACAAGCAGAGTTGAGTTAGTAGCTCCTTTACTGTAGTTTAAAATTCCATCAGTCATTTTTATTTTTTAAATAATGCTGGGGAGCAAATCCAGAGCCTTGCAAAAACTAGGCAAGCGTTCTACCAACTGAACTACATCCCTACTCATTATTCATATATCTTTATTAGGATTTGGCATATTTATCTGAGTTATTTAAATATCTATCTCCTGGCACACTGTGTGCTGCTTAAAAGAGAGGCATCCTCATTTTAAAAATTCTTAGTCTTCAGCATAGTTGCTAGGCATATAGTTGAAAAGATAAACTAATCTCTAGCAACTCTATTAGGGAAAAACTATTTTTAAACAGATTTTAAATATGAGAACACTGATGCACTAAAAGATTAATGAACTTACTACCCAAGGTCACTCAGCTATGAAGCAGTAAAGTCAGGGTTTTGAATCTAGGTAGTTTGGCTGTAGAATAATATTAAAATAATTTCAAAATGAGAGCTGACATATTGAAATTGTGTCCATAGGTTGAAAATGTTATTATTATTTGCAGTGATGGGGATTGACATATTGTATTTAAAAAATATTTTTAGTTATAGATGGACACAATATCTTTATTTTGTTCATTTATTTTTATATGGTGCTGAGGATCAAGTCCAGCACCTCACATGTGCGAGGCAAGCGCTCCACTACTGAGCCACAACCCCAGTCCCCCCATATTGTACTTTTATTAAATATATTTATGCTTACAGCTGTATCCTCCCTCCACGCCCACCGCCCCCCCCCCCCCAAAAAAAAAAATGGAGGAGAGAAGCAATAAGGCATTGTTCCTAGTCAGTGAAAGGATTCCATGCTGGATGAACTATCAGTGATTTTGTCCTAAATGGGTTTCCTTAAATATCAATTGAGATGTTAGAATATGTGACTTTTAGCTTTTTAAATTAGAATGAACTTATCTACCCACCAAGGTAGGGAGTTCAGGTTCTTATAATCTAATCAGTTTACAAGTAAGTATTCACAAACTAAATGCAAAATAAAGAAAATCTGCAGTCTGGTCTGGTTAGTATAATACAAAGTGGATAATTTCTTTGTAATTGCCCTTATATCCATTGGTACTATGTGGAGTTCTCTTTCACAGGGCACACCTGAGCCTCCTTGTCCACTGGCAGTGTACCGTCTGAGTCTTTCTATGAAAGAAAGAACAAAATGTCCATATATCAGAGCTGCAGAGGAAAGTATTTTCCCCCCTCCCTCTGCATTGCAGCCATCCACATGTAATCTTAATTCAACACTTATTGAGTACCTAATGTTTGTTTGGCATAAAATAGTGGTACCTATCTTCAAAAGATTTGAAGTCTCTGGCATAGACATTGATCAAAGGTTGGAATTCTTTTGAGCATGGGTCCAGATATCAGGTTCCATGTCAGTGCCCTTCACTTTTCTTTCACCACTGTTCTCTCTTCTCTGGCTGTTCCACCACTGTCCTGCCAGTGGAATTCTGTCGCTCCTCGCCTATCAGAGAAACTAAAGTGTCTGCTCCATCAAAGCTGAACCGGTGCAGGAAGACCACTCCTCTTTACCAAAAAGCTGTGGAAATCATTTGAACCCTGATGGAGGAGCAAACTCAAGGTCCCCAGAAAGTTAGGCGCTTTCAAGTCTCAGGTCAGACACAGAGGCGCCCAGGTCCAAACAGGCGGGTTGCCTATTACCTAATTCAATAGGCCTGGTTTTCCCTGAGGGCACAGTCCCCTGGGATGATCACCTTTCTTCAAAGCCTCACCACACTTCCCCAATGCTTTAATCCAACTGGTTCCCGCCCCTGTCCAGTAGCTGTCTTCAGTTATCTTGTGGGTCTCCTTCTCTGGACTGCGAGAATCTGCTGCATTCGACACATCTCACTGTCCAGCCTGTGCTGGTGCCACACAACCCTGCAAGCCCCAGGACCCTCCAACGCCCCATTCCGCCTGCCTCATAGACGCACAGTACCGTTCCAACATCTGCTGGAAAAATCCTTCCCCACAGCGGGGGAGTTTCTCAGTCTCACGCACCGGGAGTCGCATCCTCTCGGGTCACCCGCCTGGTGCCTACACCGAGACCTAGAGCTGCAGCCCCGGAGCGCACGCCTCCAAGTGGTCGGGTGTGTCTCCACCGACCTAATAAAGTCAGCGGAGCCCCCACGTGCGGCCTCCAGTTACACCCGTGGGAGGCCTCGGTCCCTGTGCTCTGGAGCAGCCGACAGATGCCTCAATTCTCCAGCGGGGGCGTTTTTTCTCTTCTTGCAGGCGGTGGTTGGGTCGTCTGCAGCAACAACTACTATAGCCGCTTTCTCTCTAGTGGGGTCTCCTATCTGGCACGCTATAGTGTCAACTCCCAGTTGTCCTTTAGTCTCTCCCTTTTAAAGGGAAGACTTCAAATTTTTCCCCGGTAGGGGCCCTCCCAACCCCAACTTGGTCGCCCACCGTTCTCCTTGGTTGCCACAACCCATTCCAAACCTGTTACTCCAGGTAGGGCGTGCTCGTCCAGGGTTAACTTTCCACCAGACGCTGTCCCTGTGACCTGTCTTCCCCTAGTCTCCCTTCCCCCTCTCTGCAGCTGCCCTGGCTGCCCGCTTCTTAAAAGCGCGTGGCGGGACCCGGGGCTGGGACCTCTGTGCCCAGGCTTTTACTTGGATTCCAGCACGTAATGGAGCGGGGGGGGGTGGCATTCAGGACACAGGCTAGGGGTGGCTTAGTGTCAAGCGAAAGGGTCGCGCACTGGCGCACCACTAAATTCAGGCAAGGCCAGCCCTGCGGCCAAAGCCCGTAGACCCGGACTCGGAGCCCGCCCATCACCCTCCCTCCCACCGCCTCGGCGGGGGCAGGCAGGATCACACCCCTTCCTGGGGAAGCAAATGGTCCCTTCCAGGCGGGTGGCCATGTTGCTCTAATAAAGCGGGAGGGGCGGCGGCGTGGGGGGAGCAGATGCCGCTGGCTGCGAGCGGGAGCCGAGTGCAAGCAGAGCGCAGCCGCGAGGGAGGCGCGGGGGAGGCGAGCCGGAGCCCAGGCGCTAGCTGCAGCCTTGAGTGTCGTTCCAGAGCACCCAACCGGAGCCGGAGCCGCAGCCGCAGCCGCGATGGCCGTGGCGGTGGGGAGACAGTCTGTGAGTGCTGGGGCCTCGTTTCCTTCGCGCGCTGCTCCTCCAGCGCCGGGTGGTCTCGGATTTGGGGCGGGTGCGGGTGGAGACTACCGGGGAGCCGGGCCGGGGCTGTGGACCTTGGCGGCTCTGGCTGTGGGTGTGTGCATGAATTTGGGCGCGCGTCTGGGGCTGTGGGGAGGTTGCGGAGCCCTGAGGCTCAGCTCTTACCTGATGCAACAGTGTATCTCCTCGTCGTGCCCCTATTCCAGAGATATGGAAGAAAAAGGACCCTCTCGGCGTTCCCTTTAAAAGGGTTCTTTTGGCCGCGGCGTTTCTCAGCTCTCTCCCTCTCCCCGCGCACACCGAGTCCCTCGTGACAGTCGAGAAAGGCGCCGGGGGTTTCCTCTCGGCTCCCCCGCGCCCAGGGGCGATCGGGGCATGGGAATTGTGAACCGAAGCGCTGTGTCACACGGTTGTAGAAGCGGGTCAAAGGGGTGGGATTTCCGTGGTGGCTTCTCCCAAGCATTGTGAGATCCCGGACACCCTCAGGCACCCACCCTGGTGACCCGGCCCTGCCCAGGATGTGGACAAAGCCCTAGATGTACACACAAAGTTTTCAAAAGGCTCCCTTATTGGGGTGGGTGGAAGTACTTAAAGGCTCTGCGGCTGGAAGGCCGGAGGTGGAGACCCTGGGAAGAGGAGACCCTGGGAAGAGGAAGGGAAGGCGGGTGCGCGGAGAATCGAGTGCCCCACTGGCCGGAGGGAGGGAGAGGGGATGCTCCTGCCCCGAGTTTGTGGGTCAGAGGTCCAGACCCGGGCTGCGCCTCTTAGAATGCAAGAGGTGGTTTGTAACTCGCTTTGTAACTCGGGACCCAGCCCGAGGGGTGTGGGACTCGGAGGATGCGATCAGTGGCTGCTTTACATCCCCCGCGTGAAAGCGGGAGGGAGAGGCGGTAGCGGCCTTTCCTTTTTATTGAAAGGAGCCGAGCCGGATGGAAAAGGCGGAGTCCTCTTTCTTTCTCTTTTCCTTTTTTCAAAGACCACTTTTGCCTCATAGGTTTTGAGGGTGCCTCGGGCGAGGTCCTTCCTGATCTTCCTACCTCCTTTCTTTTCTCCTCTTTCCCGTCTCACAACTGTGCAGCTGCAGGTGGTGACTTGATAGATTTCATAGGTATAGACAAAATCTCAGGGAGATATTGGGAGCTCAGAAACCTAGAAATGCAAGGCCATGCCTTCAAACTCAAGGCTCTTCCCCTGTACTCCTCCTCCCTGAGGCAACGCTTGCCTTTAGCACCGCGAGCCCCCAGCCCAGGAGGAAGTTCAAGGAGTTTCCCCTCTTTGAGTTCTACCTAGGTGTATCAAAATGCCCAGGGTTTTTTCAGAGATTTTTTTCTCACGGTCAGAGAATGTGCAGTGGTCAAACCAAAGCGCAACTGTGGGTCTTTTAGGGCTTTTAAACTCTACTATTTAATGATACATTCTTAAGAATTCTGGCTTCCTCTTGCACACAAACTGTGGCCTTGCTAATTAGTGGTCATAGTTGTCACTGAGGGAGTTTGCATAGTTTCTCTGTATTTCTCTGTAATTTTTCTAGTGAGGAAATTGAAGTCCATAGGTTTATCTGGGTAATCCCCCCCAACTCTTATTATCAGGGCACAGATTCAGAGAACTAAAATAACAATATCTGCTTTGGCAAGCGTCTTGGAATGCAAATATTCTGTGTAGGGGGTGTCTTTTTCAGTAACACCTATTGCTGGTGCACTCTTGAGGGCTGGAGGAAGTAGAAGAAATAATTTGCTGCACATTTTTCTATAAATTAGTTAGTTCATATATGTCAGTTAAATAGGAACAATATGTGGATTTAAGATTTAGTTGTGTGGCCTTAATCAAATCCAACACCAGGTCTGCCCACCATATGTGAGCTGGAGCCCCATGGATTCTTGTGTAAGAACTCTCATTCAGATAATAGAGGAGATTTTAAAAAGATATACATGTACAGAGGAAATTACTGCTTTCTGCACATTTCCTGTTGTCACTGGAATTAAGATTAAATTACTTAAAATTTAAAAATGGAAGACTTTTTTCCCCCTGACTTGTATGAGTAATCAGGAATTGACTATAAGTTTGAAAAGTCTCTTAATACATTACAGAAAATGTGTGATTTCATTTCCAAGGAATTGTTGAACTGATTGACTTTTTTCATTGAGTTATTCTTTTAAGTGGGGTCTCTATAGTTGTGTCTAAGAACAACTCAGTGAATGCAGAAGATTCTCTAAACCCAGTTCCAAGCGAACTGCACTGCATCTTTAATGCTAGAATTCTCTGCCTTTCCAATCCCCTTATCTATTCTATGTTTTGAATCAAAGAACGGAAACATTTTTGAGGGAAAAGGATCACTTCAAAGTTGATTTATATGGGAATGGATTTGCATAGTTACTCCTTTAGAATTAAATTATGTTTTTTAAAAAGTTGTTTGCAAAATCACAAGTTATCTCCTTTTCCTACAAACTGCCTCTCCCATCCAGATTAAAGAAAAACTCAATTGGAATAATTGGTCTTCAGTTTTAGACGTGTTAGTGTGATATCAAGGTAAATACATTTTCAAGGGGAGAAATGTTTATATGTCAAATGTAGTATTTTCTGTTTTATGAAATGGCTATATTCGGTTACAACCATTAAAACCTCAAGGTTTAAATTCAAATGTTTCTTAAGTGAATTTGTTGTTGACTACAAAAAATGAAAGCTTCAATTTAATGTGATATTGTTTGTTCCATTTGAAATCTCCATCCCCAAATTCTTCGTTTAACCACTGATGGTTTTAGGGCTTGGTCCTGAGAAAATCCTGAAACATGTGTGCTGTTTTCAGATTGTAACTGATAATTAGCAAGGACATTTCCGTCCTAGGGATGTGTCTACATTTTGGATGAATTAGCATTTTTGCATCTGCATCCCAGGGCAGCAATTATCTTGATTTTAAACAGCACATGGCAATTACTTTACCTGGGAATCAGGGTTTATGTAACCAAACCACTCCCTCTTAAGGTTTGCTATTCATCAAGTTATAGAAGTTAAGAGTTGAACTTTAGAGTTCATTTGGTTCAGTTTTTTCCATGCAGAAATATTTCTTACTTGATTCTTAACCAGAGATATGCTTAAACTTTTCCAGTGGCAGAAATTTCTCTATAATATCCTTCAGGAAATTTGTTTTAATTGCTCTTTTATCTGTTGAGCCAAAGAAATGGAAAGCAAAGTTTACCATTTGCTCACTAGTATCATTTATTGAGCATCTACTATGCATCAGATACTGTTTTAGGTGTTGGGGATACAGCAGTGGAGAAGAAAGATATTTCCTTCTTACCAGGAGCTTTTATTTTCTGATATTTAGTGTCACTGTATATTAAAGTGACAAACTTCAATGGTGTTTATAAACTAAGGAGAGAGGGAATTATGCACATATTGCTGAGTCAACAGTTACAGTTCAGGTAAAGACTTTCATCTGTTTGGGGATCATTAGAGATAGTACCTAAAGATAGGGTCTACCTTGAACAAAGTTGGGGGGGGTGAGACTATGTGTGAGGAAGTATTGAAAAATGTTATTTTTCTTTGTTACAAAATTGACATTTCTATGACTTGAGGATGTGGCCCCAGATGGAGGGCTAGCCAGAGCCCTCCATCTGGGAAAGATTAATAGAGCTGAAAAATGTTTAAGGAAGGGCTATCTATACAATAAATGGGCTGTCCTGTAAGGGAAGGGGCTTTTAAGAATTAAAATTCTATATATAGTCTGTGATATAAATTATACATGTGCTATAGGTAATTATTAAAGAACGTAAAGAGTATTTCAAGAGCAATAATCCTTTTAAAATATTTTGAAATCTGTAGATTGGGGGGGGGGGGTTACTGGAGACTGAACTCAGGGGCCCTCCACCACTGAGCATCATATCCCCATCTCTTTTTTGTATTTTATTCAGAGCAAGGTCTCACTGAGTTGCTTAGTTCGATTTTGCTGAGGCTGGCTTTGAACCTACAATCCTCCTGCTTTAGCCTCCTGAGCAGTTGGGATTACAAGTGTGCCACCATGCCCAGCTTTAGATTAATTTTTTTATCTTTTAAATTATCTTTTTAAAATGATGTGTCTACCCTACAATAAAAAAAAAAAAAAAAACATACCCAAGGAATTGGTTACAAGAACAAAACTATTCACATCCTTCCATCCTGATATAACAACCTTTAGATTGCTGGTGTATTTTCAACATCAACATTTACTTCAATGAAAATAACCCATCTTGGGCTGGGGATGTGGCTCAAGCCGTAGTGCGCTCGCCTGGCATGCGTGCAGCCTGGGTTGGATCCTCAGCACCACATACAAACAAAGATGTTGTGTCCGTTGAGAACTGAAAAATAAATATTAAGAAATTCTCTCTCTCTCTCTCTAAAAAAAAAAAAAAAAAAGAAAGAAAGAAAAGAAATCTTGTATGAACTGCTCATTAGAAACCAAGCTGTGTGCTGGATGGGACCTGTCTGACCATTTGAACACTATCATAGTGGAGGAAATAGATGCTTAGTGTTGGACCTGGGCCACCCTGTGTCTGTCCAGACAAACGAATGAATGATTGTGGAACTCTGCTATTTCCATGATTTGGATGGCCTACTTTAATTGATTGCCAAAAGGCCACCTGATGCCACACTGATAGTGATCATGGGATTTGGAGTCTGGAGTAGTCTACAGGGTTTTCTGTGCCTCTTTTTTCTCTTTATAGGACCCAAAGCTTAGTTGAAGTAGAGGCCACTTTTGGATTTTATCTTTTTATTGAGATCTGTCTTTCATAATTGTGGCTAGACCTGTCTCAGCTGAGATCTCCAAAGCCTGATCCATTATTTAAACAAAGACTCAGCCTATCTAAAGCTTCTATTCTTTTTTCCAAGGAAATTACTTTACAATATAATTGATGCTTCCCCTCCCCCTCTTTTTAAAAATCTAGATTGACAGAAAACTCCCTTCCAACTGAACAATACCTCCCAAC